CAGTACTTCAGTTCAATGTTGGACAGACCCTTTTGTATTAGATGCTGACTTAAGGGGACTACTTACAACATTTTGCCATTTGTTTGATTATTTAATAAATCCCTAGCCTACCACATGCCAAGCACTGCTCTTCTATGTCCTAGAGATTCCACAACGAATAAAACGTATGAAAACTCTTGTTTTCATGATGCCTACATTCTATTTAGGGGAAAGGGATAATAACAAATAAAATATATACTATGTCAAAAGGTGATAAGTGCTATGGAAAAATATAACGCAGGAAGGGGATTGGATGTGTTGAGGATGGGGGTTGTAGTTACATATGCTGTGATTGGGAATCACCTAATTAAGAAGAATGATATTTGCATGGAGTTTAAGGGGGGACAGGGAATGGACCATATATCTGGGGAAGAGTGTTACAAAAAGGGGGAAAGGCATGTGCCAAAGCCCTGAGGTGGGAGCATACCTGGCATGTTGGAGTAGCAGCCAGGAGGCCTGTGAGGCTGAAGCAGAGTGAACAAGTGTGACGGCAAAGGAGGTGAAGCCAGAGAGGTGAGCAGCAGAGGGAGCTGGGTAGAATCCTTGCTGGCCACATAGGGGCTTTGTCTTTTATTTGGGGAAAGTGGGAATTCATTAGAAATTTTTGAGCAGAAAGATGATATGACTTAAGATTTAAAAGAAGTGCTCTATAAATCAACTATTTTAAAAAGTTCAGTAAAAAAATTAAAAATTAAAAAAAAGAAATACTCTTGCTGTGTGTTGAGAAGTGACCAAGTGACCAGAGGCAGCAAAGGTAAAATTAGGGAGACCCAATTAGAAAGCTGTTGCAGTAATCCAGATGAGAGACAGAGGGGTTTGGGCCTGAGTGATGGTGGTAGGGATGGTGAGATGTGGCTGGATTCTGCATATATTTTGAAGGAACAAACAGAAGGATTTGCAGGTGCATTGGATGTGGGCAATGAGAGAAAGGCAGGAGGGATCAGGATAACTTAGATTTTTGGATTTGAGCGACTGGAAGGCTGGGGCAGCTGTTTACCAAGGTAAAGAAGGAGTGATGGTTGGTGGAGGAGGGGATTAGGAGTTTAGTTGTGGACATGTTAAGTTTGAGATGCCTATTAGACATCCCAGTGAAGATGTTGAGTAGGTGGCTGGATATGTGAGTTGGGAGAGGACTGGGCTGGAGACATAAATTTGGGATTCACCAGTGTGTGAGTGTATAATGTGAAAGCCATGGGGAAGGATGAAATCACTAAGTGAATAAGTACAGGGAAAAAGCAATATGGTCAACTTAAGTGAATGTTTCATATTCACTTGAAAAAATGTGTAGGATTTTATATACATCTATTAATTAAGCTTATTAATTGGTTCAAATCTCTACACTTAGTAATTTTTTATTGCCAGATTTATTGATTACTGACAAAGGGTATTTACATTTTCATACTATGCTGTGGACTTGTTTGTTTTTCCTTATAATTCTGTCAATTATTCTTTTTATATTTTGGTCCTATCCATTAAATGTGTATATTTAGATTTGTTACGTATTCTTGGTAAAACATTCCTTTTATCAGTTTTTAGTGACCTGTATACCTCGGAATTCTTTTTGCCTTAAAGACTATTTTGTCCTTTATTTATTACTCTACCAGCAAATGTTTTCCAGATTTATCACTATCTTTCCTTTTACTTTCAACTTCTTATGTTCTTTGTTTTAGGTATGTCTTGTAACTGGATTTTGTTTCATTTAAAAAAAAAAAACTCCAATCTGATAATCCCTGCCTTTTAACTAGGGAGTTTAATCAGTTTAGCACTATTGTGATTGCTGATACACTTGGATTTATGGCTATCATTTTATGTTTTTTATACAGCCTGCTTTTTTTAAATGCCTTTTTTCTTCCTTTCTGCTTTCTTTTGAGTAAATCAACCCCTTCTCCTTCTTCCATGTGCTAGCTTGAAAGGTATATATTCTATTGTCCATTTTGGTCCCCTTAAGATTTTAACACAGATGGGAGGAGAGTATAGCTCCAGTGGTAGAGTGCATGCTAGACATGCATAAGGTCCTGGCTTCAATCCCCAGTCCCTCCATTTAAAAAATAAATAAATAAATAAACCTAATTACTACCCCCCCAACAAAAAACCTAAAAATAAAACAAGTATCTTTAAAAAAAAAGATTTTAACACAAATAAGTGTCTAAAATGAATCAACCCAACTGAGTACCCTAAGACTGCTTCACTCAATAACCCCTCTGGCCTTACAGTCTGTTGTCCAGTATTTTAGTTAAAGTACATCTTTTAATAAATTCCCCCATTCATAGGAAATTTTCCACTTTTGATTAGAGACATCTTTATTGTGCTCTCATTTTTGTCTGATGGTTTAGATGAGCATAAGATTCTGAAGTAAATCACAAGCCACACTCAGGGCAACTAGTTGAGTCCTTGGCTCTTGATTACACTGGTTTTCAGTTTCCTTTCTACTTTTGGACTGCACAGGATTTCCTTTTCTGAGCTGCCAGCTTCACGTTTACAAGGATGCTTTGGACTATTTTCCCAGCATTTCTGTGTTTTTTTCTAGGAAAGATTGTGGTTTATTCTGGCATATCTTTGGAAAGCAAAGTTTTCTTTTTTCTCTGCTATTATTTTCTGGGAATGACTCAAGGAGATTGTTGAAATTGACTGCAGTCTTCTAGTCAGGGAGTATCTGATGCATCTTGGGTCTCTCCTTGATGCTGATCAAATAGCACAACCATGGCTACAGAAACGCACCCGTGGGTAAGGCATCGAGGTGGGATAGAGAGAGAACAATAGCCAGTGTCTTTGAACAGTAACATTATGTGCCAGGCTTTGTTCTATTTACTTCATATGTATTAATTCATTTAATCATCACAATAACCTTATGAGGTTGGTAGTATTATTATCCTCATTTGACAGATTAGAAAACTGAGGTACAGGGAAAATAAGTAACATGCTTAACGTTCCACAGATAGTAAGTGAAACAGATAAGATTTAAACCTAGGCGCTGTCTCTACAGACTAATTTCCTAACCACTGTGTTATGTGGCCTCAAAAAAACATTGAAGTTGGAGTCTGAACCCCTGCGTTCACTTGGCCATTCACTCAGCCACTCTCTTCCCCATTGGGCAAATTGTGGGTCTTAGTTTCTTCTGAAAAACAGGGATAATAGTGCCCTGCATTGTACGTAGCAGGTCTTCAGGGGCAGGGAACGAGGAGCGCTGCTGGCTATCCCTGGCTTTCTGGCATGAAGGAAGCTATTCTCCTCTTACTTGTCTAGCAAGAGTGCAGGTGCTTCATGCAACAGATGCCTTTGGGGAGGACTGGTTACCAGATGGCACTGATGTAGGGGAATAGCATTGGTCTGAGAATCAAGAGATCTGGGTCCTAGCCCCAGCTCTGCCACTGATTTGGCATGTTAGCACTACCAAGAGATTTTTGACTAAGTTAGAAAAAACTTTCCCATTCAGTAAATATTCAAGTAACTACTCTGTGCCAGACACTGTGCTAGATGCTAGAGGACACGTGTCAACTTCATTGACTGAGAAATAACTTCAATCCTCTCATGTGGCAGAAAAGACTTCTACCATGGAAGCAGTTGGAATGGACAGATTTGGAAAGTAATGAGCTTTTGGTCCTCAGACATGGTCAAAATAGCAACTGAACTACTGTTGGTATTCAGACTTCTTAAACCTTTCTGCTCTGCAATTCTGTGATTCTCTGGCCTTGGTCTCTGGGCTTTGGGATTCCCAACTGTGAAATAGGCAGGTGATTCCAGCTAATCTCTAAGCCCTGTCCAGCTCTTCCATTCTGTCATCCTGGCTCCATGAGATATGGCCTGGATGTCTGGATCTCACGTTTCTTTACCCTAAAGCGCATGGGATGGTTCAGATGGTTTAAGGACTATTACTGCCCTTACTGTGCCCATGGCAGACATTGCTAATCAATCTCAGCACACCTTCCAGCTGAGTCCAAACTCTCCTAATCTTGACTGGGGCTCTACTAGGACCCAACTTCTTATTTGATCCCTTGTCAGAGCATGGCCAGTGCAGCGCGGGAACTGGTCATCCAGCGGCTGGGTCTGGTGAGGAGTCTGTGCGAGAGCGAGGAGCAGAGGTTGCTGGAACAGGTGCATGATGAAGAGGAGCGGGCCCACCAGAGCATCCTGACGCAGCGAGCACACTGGGCCGAGGCGCTGCAGAAGCTCGACGCCATCCGCACCAGCCTGGTGGACATGCTTACCCATCTGGACGACTTCCAGCTGATTGTAAGTCAGGCAAGCGTAAGGACACAGCTAGTTGGCCAGACTCCCCAAAAGTCTGAAAACACGGAGAATGTTTATTGGTTGGAAGTAGGTGGAAAATGATAATTTGGAATAGGGATGAGGCAGGGGAATAAAATTATATGGATTTTTTTTTGTACCTGGTAACAATTCTTTCAATAGGGAGCAAATATTTGCTGAGTGCCTACTGTATGCTAAGCATTGTGCTATGAGGTGGAGTTATAGGCTACAGCTGTCAGCCACTCACAGCCTTATGGAAGAGATGAATATAAACTGATAATTAGGATATGGAGGGATACGTGCTGTGGCAGAGGACATTCCTGGGAGCTGGAGTCCCTGCAGTCTAGACCTGAGGGGTGTGGTAGTCCAGGAAGGCTTCCGAATGAAGTGACTTAGAAACTGATGCCTGAAAGGCAAGAGTGACAGCTATGTTAAAGGAAGTGCGGAGGTGTGCTGGGGGGGATGGAGAGAGTCAGAAGCTCGCAGAGAGAACACCGCAGTGACAAGTGGTCAGATACAAATACAGAGCTCACCCTCAATCCTACCACCCGGAAAGTACCATGATCAATGTTTTGGTACATATCCTTTCAAAGTATTTTATAGAGATATGCGGATACGTGCAGTTTTAAGGTGACAATTTTAAGGTACACTGGACAGTTTTAAGGTACTATCTGAGGAGATAATGCCAAGCAGACAAATGAGAACACGGAACAACCGAGCTGTCCCACTGCAGCTCAAGTGGGGCGGTTTCCATGGCTGTCCCAGACTGTGTTCATTTCATCAGACAGCCTCCATGTACTGAGCACATTCTGTCCCAAACCCTGGGGCAGTCACAGCAGAAGATTCAGAAAGAGTCCCAGCTGTCAAGCACCTGACAGTCCTGGTGAGGGATGGGATGCTGGGTAAATATGTGATTGTCCTGAAGTGTAGTTGAGGGAAAGCCCGGACCCCGTGGGACACAGGGTGGAGGGATTCATTCGTGTGTGTGGTGGAGGAGGTATGGGAAGAAGGACCCATACAGCTTTGTGCTGGGTAGAAGTTTTTATTCTAGAGTCTCTGTCCACATGGAACCTTTCATTCATGTTAATTATATTTAAGTCTTGACTGTCTGGAGCCCAGCCTGACTCTGTTTTCTTTCCTCACAGCAGAAGGAGCTGGAGATTTTTGAGCGGTAAGTGTGGCCCCCAGTGTTTACTTGGCCAGTCATGGGAAGCATGGCCTCAAGTCTCTCTACCTAGTCCATTGCCAACAGGCTCCGCCACTCCTGGGAGGAAACTTAGGGGAGGCAGCTGAGTGGCTTCCCTGGAGCCAGGCTTGACGGACAGGGGTCTTCCTGCCCCTAACTTGGAGAGCTGCTTTAGATCCATGTGGAAAGGCAATGAAATAAATAATTATGATCAGAGGCTTACCACAGGCTTTCTTAAACATTATTCTGTTAAAAAATATACAGTCACCTGTTGGAGGGTTTTACCACCCCTATCTACAGATGAGAATGCTGAGGCTCAGAGTGGGCCAGGGGCTTGACTAAGACCCACACCTGATACCTGACCCAGTACTGTCTTCTCTGCCTCACTTCCCCTTTCTCTGATGAAAAAACCTTTGAAATCTAAGTCTACATTACCACTCAAAACTTCATTTTACTTATGCAATAATAAAAGAATTTCACCAGGCCCTATCTGGGTTCTGAAAGGTTCTGAAAGATTCTGAGACCCAAAAACCTGAGAAAGCAGCCAAGAAGATGTAACTTTCCAGGCAAAGAGATTAAACTCTTACACTGTCTGTGTGAGATTTCTGAGCTGCCTTTGGGGACCACAGCCCTTTCTTCTTATCATTAATTTAAGTTTAATGGCAATACATGTGCACAAGAGAGAGAAAATTTTCACCAATGTAAAACCACTTGAAATTAACAGTGTCTCCATCACCTCTTCCCAATCCTGTTCCCTAGAAGTGATCAGTTTTTAGGTATGTGTCTTGTGGACTTTCCTATGTTTAGTCATAGGAGAGTATGTGGGACCTTTTTTTTTTGCCTCTTAAAAATTTTTTTTTAAACACAGATTGCTTTATACTCATTTTATGACTTATCGGGCTGTCTATCTTTGAATCTTTTCATGTCAGTTCATGTAGACTTGCCTCTCTTTTTGGAAAGTATGTGAGGTATTCCACAGTGTGGGTGCACCCAAATTTAGTTTACTGTCTCCTTTTAGTGTATGCTTGGCTTGCTTCAACTTTTCCCCCTTACAGTCTTTCTGTACTTCTGCTGGACTTCTATTTCTCTGTTATCTTCATCATCTTTCTCTAATACTGTCTGATCTCAATATCAGGCTGATCTGATTTTTGAAAACAATTTTATCTTTATTTTTTGTTCTGAAAAATTTAAACTTAAAGAAAATTTGCCAAAATGTTATAATGAACTTTACCTAGCAATAGTCGTAGAAAACATTTGGTCACATTTACTCTCTGTCTTTCTTGTCTGTGTCTTTCTTCCTGTCTTTCTGTCTGTCTATCTATCTATCCATCCATCTAGTATAGATACATAAAACTTATTTTTTTCTGACCTATTTGAGAATAAGTTTCAGAAAGCTTGACATATTATTCCTAAATACTTCAGCATGGATCTCCTAAGAAAGGACATTCTCTTACATTAATACAGTATAATTATTAAATTCAGGAACTCAAATGTTGATATAATACTATTATATAACATATAGTCCATATTCAAATGTTGCCAGTTATGACAAAAATGTTCTATACAATGTTGGGATTTTTTTTTAACCTGATGCATCTGGCCTGTTTTAATCTGTAATTGTTCCTTAGCCTTCTTTTTTTTTTTTTTGCCTAAACACCTTTAAAGAGTCTAGGACAGTTTTATAGAACATCCCTCAATATAAGTTTATCTAATGATACCTCATGATTAGATTCAGGTTATGTATTTCTGGCAGGAACATCTCATAAGTGATGTGTCCTCAGTCTGTCACACCAGGGGGCACATGATGTCATTCTGTTTCATTATGAGGGATATTAATTTTTTAAATTAAAGTATAATTGACATGCAGTATTATATTAGTTTGCTTGTTTATTCATTCACTTGCTTAGTATCAATACAGACTCATTGATTTTTTTTTTGACTCATGGGTTCTTATTTTATTCAATGCATTATAATCTGTTACTACTATTAATTTTGATCTTCAAATCATCCCAGATTTGAAGATCCCTTTAAGCAGGATCCTGTGTCCTTTTGACAGCTCCTCATCATTTGAGCACTTTCTTGCTGTCCGGCACAAGAAGATACTTCAGGCCCAACTTGTTCGTTTGCTGCGTCAGCCCTGGAATCAGCTATTTCTCCAGGGAATCTTGGTTCCAGTTAGTGGGGAATAGTATTTAAAAACCAAGATTTGGTCATTAGGTGTGTTCATTGCTACTGATGTGTCATGGCTTCCAGGCCTTCCCAGTGGACAGCAGACAGAGCTAGGAGTGCGTGTGCACGTAACGTATTTATTCATGAGTTTGTATCACAACTTCTGAGTCTAGTCAGACATCACAGGGCTTTTCCTTTGCCTTCCCCCATTCTTTATTTATGTCATTCTCCTTTCGCAGTGCAAACCCAACAACAGCGATATATTTATTCATTTGTTCATTCCTACGATCTGTGCAAAGTTGCCTGACAGTTGCTAAAGTTTTGTTTGTAGTTCTCTGTGCCTTTAGACTGAGGGTGCCTATTCTCAAAGCACAGTTGGCCCTCGGTTGCCATGGGTTCCGCATTCATGGATTCAACCAACCATGGATTTGAATGTTTTAGGATCTGCACTTGGGGAACCTTGGATACAGGGAGCTGACTGTAAGGGATTGTAGTATCCATGGGGGTCCTAGAACCAATCCCCACCAGGATAGAGAAGGATGACTATACTGTTTTCAAAACCTGTCAGGCGCCTTCTAGCTGGGAACTCACTTGTCTGATAAATGCCTCTGTTGGCCCCAAGGTTGCCTCCACGTCCATGGCTGAGCTCAGCCCTGGCCTGGCTCGGCAGCAGGTCCCACTGCACATGCTGGGACTTCTGGTCCCAGCCACCGCCCTGCTATGTCCCAGCCCCAGTTCACTCCCGCTCCTTTGAGGCCACAGGTTTTCCCTTCTGTACCCTGAGGTAGCTGGACCATCTGATGATGACTTAGCACTGCTGACACTGGCTCTTTTTTCCTCCTCACCTGATAGCTGGAGCTCCTCCAGTGCCAGCCTTGGTGCTTTGAGAAGATGGCAACAGACCCTCTCTTGTCCTGAGTACAAAGAGTCTTTGTAACCAGAGCCTGCTCTCAGCTTTTCTAGGGCCCTGTTCACCTCATTCCTCCCAAGTCAGGACAGTCAATGACAGTCTTAAAAACAGCTTGCATCCGTGAGGGGAGACATGCCCCACCCTCTCTCTCCCCACCTTCGTTTATGGACAGAGCCATGAGATTTGGGAAAGAGAGTGTGTATTTTCAGAGCTGCTGCCTAAACTCAAAGCCATCTTCAGGATTAAAGGCGGTGAGAATATGCTTTCTCAGAAGCCAGTTCAGAGGTCTGCAGAGCTCTGTGACAGATCCTCATTTTGCCCTACACCCTATCAGATTTCACTTCAGGTCAAGGGAGAGATTATGTTGAATGGTGCCTGGACTCTAGCCTGAGTTTGTTCTGTTTTCTCATGAAGGCAAGACTTGAATCTAACTCCTGTAGTTAGCTCAGTGCTTTCTCTGAATCTCTCTTTCCTGACAAATGGGATAACAACTACCTTCCAGCAAAGATCACATGAGATTCTATATAGAAGACAGCAAACCCGAAGACTGGCTGCCTAAAGACTGGCAGTACTCCCCTCCTGGGCATCTCATGTTCCCAAATTCCTTCGAACAAAAGCCAGTCCCCTCTGTGAGCTGAAGAGAGGTAGTTATTGGGAGCAAAGCACTGTGACTACTTTATGGTTGGAGTGATAACTGGTAGTTCTTTCCTGCACGATCTTTCAGGAGTGTTTGCATTATAAGAGCAGAGGAGTGGCTGTGCCTTCTGACCACACCAAGAGGCGTTGCTGCAATAGGTCTTAGAGGGTGGCGAAATTTTCTCCATGCAGGTTGGTGGATTGGAAAGACTTCAGTACAAGAGGCTCAGGTCCTAGTCCCAGCTCTGCTACTAACCTACTGAGACACACTGGTGAATTGCTTCCCCCACAGAACACAATCCAAGTTCTAATACTGGCACCAAGTACTTACCTCCCTGCAAATAATCTGCCTTGCTGCAACTAAGACTCCAGGGCACAGAGGGAATGCCGACCTTTTCTTGTGGCTCCAGCCCCTTTTCAGGGCTCCTACATGAGGCCTGGCTGCCATTCTTGGTGTCACCCTCATGGGAAGAGGATTTTACTTCTGTCCCCATCCCATCACCCTGTATTGATCCAGATATATTTCCAGAACCTTCCTAAATCTCTGCTTTTGCTTTTTCCTTCCTGCTCAAGGACCGAGGAAGCAGAAGGCATTTTGGATCCCCAGGAGTCAGAAAAGTTAAACTTTGATGAGAAGTGCACTCGGAGCCCACTACTGACCCAACTCTGGGCAACAGCTGTTCTTGGGACCCTCTCAGGTTAGGAGCTGCTAGAGCCTGGTACCAGTTGGAGCAAGTGGGCTTCTGTCTGTCTGTCTGTCTGTCTGGGGTTTGCTGCTGGGTCACAGTGGGGACCAGTGCATCTGGAATGGTGGCTTAAGCAACCAGAGATGCTAGATGCAGGCTTGTCAGTAGAGCCCAGGTTCTGGACAGGCCTGGGGCAGCTGGGCCAGGTCCTTCCTGTTTGCAAAGCACCCTGCTCCGTGGTTAGGTCTGTGAAAAATCTTGTTCCTATAAATCACATCCTCCTTTTGTCCTGCCCTAGTGCAACAGCTCAGTATGATTTCTTGGAAACCTAGTTTCTCTTTAAGAAGATATAATTGATGGACAACTGGAGAGCATCTGGAGCAAGAATTAAGCTGCCTGGATTTGCCTCACTTACTCACTGAACAAACATTGACTCAGCCTGACTGTGGGCCTGGCCTTGTGCTGCATGCTAGGGCCGCAGAGGTGGAAGTGACACAGTCTCCTGCCTCCAGGAATTCCCACGTAGTCTGAGGCTTCCCCCAAGCTAGATGAAAGCTTCCACACTCTCACGTGTGGTATTTGCACAAGTCACAGAAACGTTAGGTTAATGGATTTAATTCTTTCTCAATTTTATCCCTCCCTCCCTGCACATTATCCTTAAAATGTTAGTACAAGCTGTAGCTTGTCTTCTCTAGATTCTAGTCTCCAGCAGTGCCTGATGTGCCAGCAGTCCCTTTTAGTTACTTGCTGGAATCTGCATATCTGATGCTTCTAAGCTTCCAGGGACCATGTCACTAGGACAAGTCTGATCTGGAAACTGAAGATAATGCCCAATTAGAATGCAGTATGATCAGTGCTAGACGCTAGATGTAGGAACGAAATGCTGGGTCTTCATTTTGTCCCTGCCACCAACATGGATTGTAACTTTGGGCAACTTACTTCTTGTCTCTGGGCTTTATTTCTGTGAGAGTTTATAGATGAGGGTCTTGGACTAATAAGTAACTCCTGTTGTTATGGCCACAATTTATTGAGCACCTGTTAATGCTAGGCACTTTGTATGTATCATCTCATTAGATCCTCACATCCACCCTGTGATAAGTCCTATTTTGATCCCCATTTTACAGATGAGGAATCTGAGGCTCAGGGAGAGTGAATGGCTTGTCTGCCAGTGAGTGGTGAGGAAGCCCTTTGCTCTGTGACAGGACCAGGTCAGGGCTAAGGGTGGGCCTTGGGTAACTGAGAATTCTTTCTGGCAGGCACGGAGGATGTGCGTATTGATGAGAGGACTGTCAGCCCCTTCCTGCAATTGTCAGATGATCGAAGGACCCTGACCTTCAATGCCAAGAAGTCCAAGGCCTGTACAGATGGCCCGGAGCGCTTTGACCACTGGCCCAATGCCCTGGCCACCACTTCCTTCCAGGCTGGGCTGCATGCCTGGGTGGTGAACGTCCAGAACAGTTGTGCCTATAAGGTGGGCGTGGCCTTAGGCCAGCTGCCCCGCAAGGGTTCTGGCAATGACTCTCGTCTGGGCTACAATGCCTTCTCCTGGGTCTTCTCCCGCTACGACCAGGAATTCCGTTTCTCACACGGTGGGCAGCACGAGTCCCTGGGGCTGCTGCGTTGCCCAGCTCTGCTGGGGGTGCTGCTGGACTTGCAGGCACAGGAGCTGCTATTCTACGAGCCGGCCTCAGGCACGGTGCTCCACACCCACCACGCATCCTTCCCTGGACCCCTCTTCCCAGTCTTTGCTGTGGCTGACCAGACCATTTCCATCGTCCGCTGACCTTTGGCCATGGAGAGGCCAGGTCTGCCTCCCCACCACCTTTTCAGGCCATGCTTCTACCCAGTGTCCCTTCCTCAAATGTTGCCTGTGCCTAATGGGCAGTTTTAGGAGGGGTTCTACGTACAATGGTTAAATGCTGGGTATCTGTGAGGAACCTGCTACATCCCCGGCCTTGGTCTCCAGAATCCACCATGCATCTGCTCCTTTGAGGGTCTTGTTCACCTCTTTAACTCTGGCATCCAGCATGGTGACTGGTGCATAGTGAGTATGCAATAAACATTTGGCAAGCGAGCGGATGGTTGGATGGATGGATGGATGGACGGGTGGGTGGACAGGTCACTGAGTGCATGTGATGGATTCTTCTGGGGAATCACCACCCCCAGTATAAGCCGTTCTCTGGCAGAAAAGCCTGTGACTGAAGCTCTTTCGTCCCCTTAATTCAGTGCCTCTCAATCCTTTTCATGACATGGCACATAGAGAGACTATTTTTCTAACACACAAGACAATCTGGAAGGGATTTAGAACTCCTGCCAGGCTGCTGTTGGCTAGAGGACTGTGGCCTGGTGGGGGCTCTATCCTTCCCCAGGTCCTGCCTGGCTACTCAGAAGGCTCAGGGGATCCTGTCTCCAGGTAACCTGTCTGCAACACACCCATCAGCCACGCAGCCTCCAGCCCGTGACCGCCTGTAGAAAAAGGAACGAATCTTCCCCCAACTGCAGCCTTCTCTTACATAATATGGAGACCCGGGGTGAGGTCTTCAAACCATAAAGAGCTGAGGGAGTAAGAGGGCCAGCCTTAGGGAACATGTACTTTATTAAAGGTTTTAAAAGATTGAAAAATTTTTCATGTTCTTTGTTGGTAATTGGAAAAAGCCCCCACGTGCCAGCTCAGATCTTAGTGGTGCATTTGCTGGGAAATTGATGCCTTCTTCGTCCTCATCCATATTCCCAGATATAAGCGGGAGGCAGCTCAGCATACATAGCTGAAAGAGCCTGAGACAGGGTTCGGTGCCCTGCGTAGCTGGGTCCAAGGGCAAGTTCCTTACTGTTCTCTGAGGAGGCCACATTAGAACAGGGGTCCTCCTATTTTTGTCTCATCTGGGAACACAGTTCATAGGCAATCTTACCTACAGGGCTCCTAGGCTCAGAGATGGGGGCCAGAGCCCTCCCCACCCTTAAGTTTGCTCAATAATTTACTTGAAACGGTGGATCAAATCAACTTGTTTGGTAGACATGACTTCTGAGGCCCTTGCAGCTCTTAAGACCACAGCTCATGATCCATGTCCTCACTGCCTGACACTTGGGAATTAATTCTGAATCACCGGGCCTTGGCACCAAGCCCAAGGAAGACAGACCTGCAAGAGGTATGGCCAAGTCTGAAAAGAGCTTCAGTCCACAGTTCACAGGCCCACTGCCCAGAATGCCCCTCTTACCCCTCTGCCCACTTACATTCCACCCCCAGTTCAGGGTCCCTCCAGAGCCCTCCCTGTGCTTCCCCACCTCCATGCTATATCCCTACGAGTGGGGTGCCCTTCAGGCTGCCCCCCAGGACACCTTCCCTGTTCTCCCTGGATCTCCACTGCATTGTCTCACGTGGCACAGATCCCTTTCTACTTGCAACCTGGCAGTCAAGCTGATGGGCTTTGGAGTCAGAGACATGCCTACATGGGAACCCCAGCTCCAGCAGGTACTTGCAGTGACCTCAGGCGGGATACTTAACCCATGAATCCATTTCCTTGCTTGTAAGGTGGAAGTCACACAACCTAGGCCCACTTGGTAGCTCTGAAGGTTATATATGCATATAAAGGAGGCCTTAGCAGAGTACCTGCCACACGGCAAGCATACATCAAGTTTCTTCCCATGACTATAATTAGGGTGTTCTTTGTCTAAATATTCCCCTTCAGACTACGTGTCCTAGAGGACAGTGTCCCCACAGTTCAGTTTAGCTCTGGGTGTTCAAACTAAGCTCCTCTGACCTCAGGCTTCCCAGGGGGAGAGTTGCAAAGGCTTTGGGGCCTGAATGAGGGGCCCCAGGACCTCTGCTTCAACCCTAGCTGTTTCTCATTTTGCTGGTTTTGCGTGTTGGGGTTCCACATAAGCTCTTCTATAACAAAAGACCCTGCTATTAAAACAAAGTTTGAAAACTGCTAGTTTTGAAGCCAGTTGGGCTCTCATGAATCTTGGGGGAGGTGAGGGGGACTCATGATGGAAAAGGGACACAGGTGTAATGAATGAAACATCTCAGAGACCAGGAGCTGGTTAGTGGGGTGGGACTGAAAGCCCTGCATTCACTGCTTTATAGTCAGAATGCGATATGGAGGCTTCAGGGAGAGGGGCAAAGGCCAGATCTCAAGAAGGAAGGGGATCCCTGCCTCCAATGATTGTTGGGCCCAGCCACTTCCCCTACCAGACTCAAAGCTGCAGGGGTGAGCCCTCTAGGCGGTCAAGGGCAGGCAGGAGATGGGGTAGTGAGGGGAGAATGTGTTCTTGGGGTATAGAATCCTTGATCCCAGGGTCCAAAGGCTCCGGGCCAGCCACCAGGAAGCTATGCATGCCTATAGCACGTGCTCCCTTGTAATCAAGTGGGTAACTATCTCCAACATGGGCTGCTACCGCCGGTTCCACCTGAGCAAGGCGCAAGGCCTCACGGAAAATGCGGGGGTCTGGCTTGGGCCAGCCAGCAGCCTCAGAGGTCAGCACAAATTCAAAGTGTTCCCGCAGGCCAAGACCCACTAGGATGCCCTCCAGCCGTCGGTCAAAGTTGGAGACCACTGCCAGCCTCAGACCCCGTTTTCGGCACTCCCTCAAGGTGGCCTCAGCCCCCTGCAACACCTGCCAGGTGCAGGGGTTGCTGAAGTCTTTGTACAGCTGGTCAGCGATGGGGGCCACAGCCTGGGCATCCTGAACACCGGCGCGGTGGAAGGTCTGCAGGACCACATCCAGCCACCACTGGCGGGAGGTGAGGCCATGGCTCAGGCCATAGTTGGGGAAGCTGAGGCTCTGAGCCCTGTACGTCTGCCAAAAGGCTTGTTCCAGGGCTGTGGCCTCTACCTTCAGCCCGTGGGCCTGGGCCTTGGTGGCATACTCCTCCCCCATGGGTTGGCGGAGCCGAAGCAGTGTGTCCTTCACATCCCACGTCAGCAGTTGTAACTGTAGCCGGCGTGCCATGGGTCTGCAGGAGGGGGCAGTTCACCCCAGGTCTGCCTCAGATCCCAGGGGCCGAGGGGAGATTGAGCTGGACAAGACCACCCACAACCTGATGGTGTTTTCTTTCCAGGCTATGTGGGTCAGATCTGCTGGCACTTGGGTAATGTCTTCACAGCAGAAGATCCTAGAATTAGACGGCAGATAAGGTGGAAGTTCAGGCCTTAAAATCAGAGACAGACCGGGTTCAAATTTTTTTTAATTGAAGTATAGTTGATTTACAATGTTGTGTTAGTTTCTGGTGTATAGCATAGTGATTCAGTTATACATATATATTCTTTTTCATTATAGGTTATTACAAGATACTGAATATAGTTCCCTGTGCTATATAGTAGGAACTTGCTGTTTATCTATTTTGTATATAGTAGTTTGTATCTGTTAATCTCAGACTCCTAATTTAGCTCCCTCCACATCTCTTTCCCCTTTGGTTACCATACATTTGTTTTCTATGTCTGTGAGTCTGTTTCTGTTTTGTAAGTTCATTTGTATCATATTTTAGATTCCACACATAAGTGATATCATATGATATTTGTCTTTCTCCTTCTGACTTACTTTACCTAGTATGATCATCTCTAGGTCCATCCATGTTGCTGCAAATGGCGTTATTTCATTCTTTTACCCTCTTTCCCCTTTGGTAACCGTAAGTTTGTTTCCTATGTCTGTGAGTCTGTTTCTGTTGGTAAATAAGTTCATTGTGCCATTTTTTAAGAGTCCACATGTAAGTGATGTATTTGTCTTTCTCTGACTTACTTCACTTAGTATGATAATCTGCCTTCAAATTCTGATGCTGCCAACTTACTGTATGACCCTCTGAGTGTCACTACCTGAAGCCCTGTCTCCTTATTTGTAAGAAAAGCACAATGACCCAACCTCACAAGATTGCTGGAATAAATGGGATTATCTGTTCATTCTACCTATTATGTGCCAGGTGCTGGGAAAGGGACAGATTTCTATCCCTCAAGGCATTTACAGGCATTAAAGAAGAGAGGATTCAGATATTTGAAAAGAAATACAAAAATACTTAAGCATAATGAAGGCAGCATGGACCATGAGGATACAAATCCAGAAACCCAATCTAGTCTTTGTTGTTGGAGACACTTCCTAAGCAACTGAAGTTTCAGTGGAGAGCTGAAGAACGACTATTCAGGAAATGGAGGTGGTTAAATGTTCCTGACACTGGAAACAGTAAGTGCAAAGGTCCTCAGGCAGGGCAAGGAGTCTGGTGCTTTAGGTAGATAGGGACCAGCTCAGACAGGGCCTTGTAGGTCAAGGTAAGGAAACAATTACCACTACTGCTATTACTATTGTTAGGAATGCCAAAGACAGAAGAGTCTTTGCAGACCATCTGACCAACCGCCTGGCTGTTCAGCTGGGAAGACTGAAGCAGAGAGGGGCAGGTATTTGCCTAAAGTCACAGCAAGTCAGTGGCACAGCCAGGACTAGAACCCAAACCTCCAGTATTAGACATATTTGGATTTTTAAAAACTGATTTTGGTGAACCTGTACAGCACAGGATAAAAGGCAGGACAGAGTCTGGCTGTGCTTGTTTTAAAGCCTCTCTGAGCCCCAGATGATTTGCCTGTCTGGGTGGAGAGCCAGTGAAAGGATTACTGACTCAGTGCACAGAAAACAAGTTCCTCAGACTAATGTCTAGAGATTGGAGGCTGCTTTTTGCTCCCAGACAGAGCTGATTCCAGAAATCCAACTTGTTCAGCTGAAACCTGAGGGGCCAGAGTTCAGAGTGCAGCCAGGTTGTTGCTGAGGGACGGACTTGTCTGGTGAATCAAGGGACAAGTCTTAAAGGAAGTTTGTCAAGGAAATGAATTTAAGACAATCTGAAACTTAGGGAGACCTTATCCACAGGCCCTCTCACTTTGCAGGTGGTAGACGGAGGACAGTGAGGGGCGGGAATTCGCCCAGAGTCAAGCAGGGAGCCACTGGCACAGCTAAAACTAGAACAAAGTTGCTCTGGCTCCCGATCCACAGCGTTTTCCATTTCTGGACGCTGGAGGTGGGGACTCTGGCTGCAGGCCTGAATTGCTCACCCTCTCTCCCCACCTCCAGGGCTCGGTGGCGGCAAAGTCTAGGTAACCCGTGGCTCGAGCGACATCTCAACCGCTGCCGCATCTCAAACCCTGCGGCGCCAGTCCTCGGGGCCCACGACCTACCTGCCTTGTGGAGGAAAGCCGGTCAAGACGGAAGCCGTAGCCGCTTGTCCGCCTGGGAGACGGCGCACATGCTCAGCGGCACCCTTCTACTCCGGGATCCCAGCCCTCCGACCGCCCCTCGCCCCGCCCCGACCGCCCCTCGCCCC